AGCTGTCTGCAACGCAGTCTGAAGCCAGACCTTGGAAATGTGAACGACAGCAATATTAATCAGTTTAGCAAGTTGGACATGCAATATTCACACTACCCATACCTTTAGCAAAGGTCGCTAATGTAACAGAAGGTTACTTCGCTACAGTCCCCGTCAGATGATCATTTCAAACTCTAGTAGCCAGCACATAGTAAGTGTGAAATTCGAGCTTCTAATGAGATTTTCAAAACCACTCCTCAACACGGCTCCACTAGCTCAATCACTCTCCCTTATTCTCTCAATGTGCATTTTCCACACAACCATGACTACTATAGAAAACAAATCGACAAGGAAGAAAAATGAGCTGAGATTCGAGGAGTACCAGTGGTGCAGTTGAGGGAACAGTTTGAATGATTACAAACACCACTCTTAGTCTAATCTGAGAGTGCTGTTTATCTTCAACTCTTCTTGAAACATTTTTAAGACATTCAAGGATTCCTTAGGATGAAAACATAAGAGATGTGAAAAATTCTCCGCATGCATTTGTTCGCCAAAAATATTGTTCACAACCAACGAATAGCGTCCGAGTCTTTCGAGAGGTCAGGTTATCAGAGCTATGTGGGATCATAGCCTGAACTTAGGCTTCGGCAAAGGCCTCTCCTAAGGCAGGTTACACTACAGCTAGCGGATTAAGTTTGCAAGGAGCAAATCAGAGGTGACGTGACCTGATGGGAAGACTTACTACACACCGAGTATCACCTGGAGAAGTCGATGGAGTGAGCAAAGGTGACAAAATCTTGATAGAACCTAATATCAAGCTGCTATGCTTTATAAGTTCTGAGAAAATGATGTCGAATTTCTGTGATACCTGAATTTCTCTGCTGTCTTCTCGCGCATCTCCTCCACTGAATCATCATTCTTCGCCCACTCCAGTACCAATCTTCTTCCATAGACGTGAGTTGAATGAACTAGCGCTTCGAATGCCCGTTTGGCTTCACCTATTGATATGAAGTCCACGAATCCGAAACCACGATGCTGATCCCGACTACCAAGCTGAACAAGAATTTCAGTCGCAGGAGAAATGCACCAAAAAAATGACAAATTCCAAACAGAGCACACGAAAAGCTGCAAACTGATAGGTTCAATCGTATTTTCAGCTTTCTTTTGAACTCACTAATTCCCACCTTCATACATACCCTTTCATCTGCTTGCTTTCAAATTGTTCATGGGAATTGAAAAAAAAACCTAATTTCATGCTAGCCAATCCTTATGACTTCAATAACCTCACAAGCTACCCATAAGTAATTCCCACAATTTCAGCCACGAAAATTTATACACCAGTGCCAAAGAACTGCGAAGATCACTAACCTTCTTAGGTATTCTTATGCTCTTTATCTCTCCAAACGATGCGAAAAGGCTTTCAATTTCTTTCACACTTGCTTGGAATGGTATATTCCGAACAAGCAGTTTCGTGCACGTGCCCTGCTCCGTAGCGGAAACCGCCTTTCTCTTCAGTTTGTCGCTGTCGTTCATCTCACGATGTGACATCTTCAGCTCCAAGCTATGTCCATTGAGAAGTTCACCCTAAATCAATCAAAATTGTCTTAAAACTATGGCGTAACCTTCGGCCTATGCGATAAGAATAAACCCTTGACCTTACAAAAAAGTTATGATGCAGAAATAAAAAAAATCTGCCGTCATTCACAGAAACCAGCGCTTGTCAATCACGAATCTGCACCGATAAGTCCAATGGTGAGTTTAAAAAGTGAGGGCCAAATCAAAAGAAGCGGAAGAATTAAGTTTTCTTACGGGTTTCCAAAATCATAATGGCATGAATCCTCCTAAATCTCGCGCGTTGAGCTTTTCGGAGCTAATATTAGATTGATGAGTGCCTCCTAACAGCATTGTCAAATTTACCTGCATTTCCTTGATGGCTCGCAGTGCTTCCTCCTGGGTGTAAAACTGAACAAAACCAAAGCCCATGGATAGACTTTTAGCTGGATCCGCTGGATTCAACTTTTTCGAAATCTGCACACCTTTGATCCGATATTTCTTTCTGAAAAGCTCCGTCATTAACCTGATATACGCCTAAAATCCAACAACTGAAATTAATTCCGGAGCTTTCATTCAGTTAATTCTGAGCAGAGGATAATACTATGCGAGCACCGTCACTCACCTGAAGAACTTATCAAGACTCTCATCAGTTGTGTCGAATGAGAGGTTTTTGACGAAAACGGTTGAACCAGGCTCGATAATCTCCTCCTCTGTGCTCTTTTCATCATCTTTGGTGGGCTCTTGTACGGGAGTAATGGCTCCTTCCTCAGCTTTCACTGTCTTAAACAATTCTTTCCCATATCGTTCCAAAATAAATCCATAACTGCAAGCCACCCACCTCATCACCATTGTCCTCCTTCGAAGTTGATGGCACTTCCTTAACGTTTTCCTCCTGAACCTCCGTATCCAGTCCACGTCGTTTTCGTTTTTCAGCTTTCTTCTCCTCGTACGTCATTTCGCGTTTGTTCTTCTTCTTTTTCTCCAATTTTACTTCATTGTTTTCAGTAGCAGCTTGTTCAATCTCCGCAACCTACACGAATACAATTAGCCATTTTAACGAAAATAGAACGTGGAATAAAGGTTAAAACAGTCCTATCAGTGTTTTGAAATGAAGATACAGCTTGTAGTTGATTAAATTGAAAGTGAAACACTAATGTCCACATCGACAAATGGCTCAAGTATTAACCATGACACTGCGCCTACTTATTTATGCCTATCACAGCTGGAAAGGGGACCAAATTCGTGAGAATGGGGGATACCGGAAAATTGATTTGAGCTTTTATATGCTCGGACTTACGGGCATAAGGAAACAGAACGAGACCAATTCATGTCCTAATGCTCCACTGACAACGACCTTATCGGGCTTCCGTCAAACATGTGAGTTCACTTTCCTGCTGGGAAGGGGGCTTTACTTATAACAAGTATTGCTCCAATTCAAAACCGAGAAATAAATAACGAGATAAATAATAATCACTGGAAGGTTGAAAATATGGTAACAATAAAAGCAAGAGAACATCTGTAAAAGAAAGTATAACTGCCATACCTTATTGTCCGCCGAGTTCTCACCAAAAACATCGCCAGGAGCCCACTCGAGATACAAAGGTTGGGTGCGGAAACGAGAGTACGCCAAAGCTTGGAAGGCTTTCTTTGCATCAACAACGTTGCTCATCACGACAATTGCACTGATACCTCCTTCTGCAATTATTCGTATAAGGCAAAAACATGAGAAATGTTCAAATTAAGCAAGAGAAATGAAGAGGGAAGCCCGAAGAGCGGGACGAAAGGTTTGCATAGCTTCAAGCTCCTGAACGCTTTACCGTAATATAGAATACTTAAAATCTCAAATAGCTCTACTAGTAAATTCAGCTGTCACATTTCCGATACAAATCATATAATGCAGAGCAAAGAACTACCCTGTTACAGCGTCAATGGATTAAAGCTACTACAAGATGAAAAGGTAGAACGATGGTGTCAAGAAGACTCACCTGGAGGCATCAAAACCTTGCCCACTTCTCCAAATTTCCCAAACATTCGCTGTAACTCTTCCGCTTGAACACCAGCCGGTAGATTTTTCGCAATGATGACGGTATTGCTACAAAGCAAATCTTTACGATCTCTAACATTTTCTTGGAAACTGCTCACAGATATATACTACATACAAACAAGTGCTGTCTAAGCTATGATCGAAGGTTACTCTCTTATATCCCTCCACGGATTTTCAGAGAAATATTATCTCGACCAACGTTGGACGTTTGCATCATTTTCAGAGGCCCTAAATTCCATCGCTGGATGTAACGAAATGCTACACGAAAACATACGGCAGCATAAACGGGCAAACGCTCCCAAAAGCGATAATGAACCAAGACCACACAAAATGCCAAACTACAAATTACCAATATTCAGAGCGAAAAAGCAGCACAGGAATTTCAGATACTGTAAGAAAATCCCGAGACGCGCAAATTCTCTTAACAAGCAGCTCGGAATAACAACAAAACTAATAGTATTACATAGTGTACTCTCGCTCACCTTCCTTTTCGCCGCAGGTCGAGAAAACGCGTCCAAGCAAACTCCGTTTGCCAAGAAAAACTCTCTTGTTTCACGAACCAGCCTGGTTTCAGCCAAAGCTAGGCGGACTCCAGCACTGAAACAATGAGTTCTTCGAAAACATCAAACCCTGAGAGATGTTAGATATTCATGAATTCAATCGAAACGGAAGCACTAATACTTACCTTTCTCCACTCTCCGAATTCAGCAGGTCACCCTTTTCCACTCCAAGTTTTTCCGCTAAAGTGTCAGCAATAGCATTCGGTCCAAGGAACAACGCGTTCCATGAATGAGACTGAAAGAAATAAAAAAATTGTTGCTTTGTTCAACACATGTGAAAAACATGTAATAAATTGAGACTGAAAAGGGAGTTCTAATCTATGCTCCTAGTTTCCAATAGTGAAAACAACCAACACACTGGATAAGTATAAAACGAGAAAAGAAAAAAGTGCTCAAACCTTGGCTGCATTAGCTTTTAACTTGGACATTTTCTCCTTTTTGTAGGACGTCTTCTCGGACGACCCAGATATTTCTGGTTCTTTCTTCTCACGCTTCTCTGAGCCCGGAATAATGTGCATCATGCGTCCCTTAAAATGGACATCATTCCATTTCAATAAAAACCAAGAAGCAAAACGAACCTTGAAAACCGTCCCATCCGCAGAAGCATAAGCCGCGACGGCAGATTCTGGGAACACGAACTCCACTATGGCAAATCCTTTACACTTCCCAGTTTTCTTGTCAATTATCACCTAAAACATGAATAGTGACGCCTATAAGCAAAAATAACTTGTAACACGCGAGAAAATTCAAAGAATACTACCTGAATTTCTGCTATTTCTCCAAACTTTTTGAATAGAAAATGCAGATCTTCTTCTTTTGTGGTGAACGGCAAATTTCTCACAAAAAGCCTGCCTGTCTCCAAAAGTTCCTCGCGAATTTTGGCCTGAATATATCACTGTAAGTACTAAATTTTGTAATCATTGGACCTTGAAATCTTCAAACCTAAGAAACTTGACGGTGCTCACTAATTTTGAAAAAAAAAAAACTTGAAAGGACCGTGGTTGAAAGGCCGGTATTCGCTATACATCGCTCACGTGATATGTGGAGAGTGATTTTGCATTAATTTGCTAACTTTATAATGACGGGCAGCAGCGTAGGAGTATGTACACGGACCACATACATATAAAAAGCTAAGGTTTTGTATGTCACAGGTTTTGCGATCGTTACAGTAGCCCATTACGGGAAGACGCTAAACCATTTTATGCTTGGAAGCAATTTCAGGTATCAAAAAATGATATTTTCTAGAGAAATGGACGAACGACGGCCTTGATCCGCTGGTCTGACGCCTGGGGAATGCTTTCTCAAAAAGTATGTTTCGTATCCCTTGCTAATCACTAATCAAATAAAACAGTCAACGAAAAAACATACACTGTCAACTTCCTTCACACTTTAACTGGGTTTGCGAGATTCAAACAGACATTGCACGTATATCAGAATAGGATGCTGATCTTAAGGAGGAGAGAGGAAGCTTTGGCGGGTGTCAGAGTTCGCGATCGGTCGCGTAATTCGCACGAGTCGCGCAAATAGCACCGACGGAATGACAGAATCGAAGTACACGAACAAACAATACATTGCGAGGTACTCTCAATTCTGCGCTACGTTCTGCTGATAGGGTTTAATGATTGAATGACGACAGTTCATAATTCTACCTGTTTCACAATTACTGTTTCTACATTCAAATGCGGTACTTCCGATTTCTGCGTATCGTGCGGCGGATCGCGGACACTGACACCAGCCAATCGTGGTGCAGAATTTTCTCCCAGCACCAAGTGAATAAATTTTCACAAAAGAAGGAAGCTCCAGAGTGTGCAGCTGGCAAACAGGAGACTGAGCATGTAATAAAGAATACATCTGCCTTGGTTTCGGGAGCATGGAGCGCGACGCGCCTCATCCTTTACGCACAGACTCACGTAGAACAGCTTCAACTTCGATCAAAAGCTTAACGGGCAACACCCAAAAACACCGAGACGTTATACGCGAAAGCTTACCTCCTCAGTATCCCTATTGACTGCGTTTTCTTCCTCGTCCTCCTCCTTAACATCGGTCACCCCCTCTTCTGAAGCCACTTTCGAGATTGTGAGCTGTAACAGGTACACGTTCATCAAACCACAAAAAAGTACCGTAGCTATATTGGAAGACCTGCCACGGTATTCGGCCCATTTGCGCTATTACAAGCTGAATAAAGGAAGCGTGTGGCGCGGTATAAGGTGTTTTGATTCAATGGTTCCGTCCGATCAGAATCCTAGTTGCATGGAATCTGCACTACTATGGGAGCCCAATACCACAAATATTCAGTGTATGGGCCTTAATAAAATGGAAAGAATTTTCGAATTTACTCTTACCTTATAGCCTCCGATGAATTCCCCAGTTCTTTGTAGGGCTCTACGTACATCAGGCGGACGATTGAACGTTACAAAGGCAACGGCAGCTGTTTCGTTTCTCACAATCTAAAGGAAAGCAATATTAATTATGAATACCATGCAATATCCAGCTGACAATAAGATGTTCTCTAATGAAGAAAGGGCCCACCTTCATTGCTTTGACACGCACTGGGACTCAACCACTCCTTGAGGTTCTTTTGCTTAATGGAAGCAGGCAGGCCAGTGAATATTAGTGATAACTTCGTGTCACCTAAAAACCGATAGGCATCATGCAGTTCTTCTTTCACTTTTGAGATGAATAAGGAACAAATACCGTACCACTTATCCCATCCATCAACTCTTTCAACAGCTTTTCGTTCTCAACAGCTGCATCAGGGACAGTAATCTTCTGAGGCTGGAATGAAGGAAATATACTCAGGTACTAGAGCTAATCCTACTGTGACGAACCGTTTCATCCTTGATTCCTTGTGCTTCCAAAAAGTTACGATAATCCGGATCGACTTTCTTCTTCTTCTCCACTGTTTCATCATCAGACTTTGCTTTCTTTTGTTCTTTTTGAGAATCAGGCGAAATAACTTCGTGTTTTCGTTTGTAGGCACTGAAAATTCAAAGGAGATACTTCTTTAAAAAAATGGTGCTTGTCGGATATGGGCCACATTTGTTCGTTGAAGGCTAGTACGATAGTTTTGGTCGCCCGCTGGGTATGAAAGCAGAGCTGCTAAGAG